CGGTAGACTGCATAAAAACCAACACTTAATCTGAATCCAATATACAATAACAGTCCTCTTCATAATTTGCAGGTAGTTGGACCTAATATACTCGTAGTTGACCTTCGGTACGGTCGTCCGCGGGCGATAAAATAACGAAATAACGTCGGTGGTTTTGCCGTGTTAGAACTTAAAATGTCTTAAAAAGTAGACGGATCGGTTTTTTTCCCAATAAATCGTGTATCTACCGTAATCAGGTACACGATTTAGTCGTCTGTGATGTCATGTAATAAACACAACATTATGATACCGACCGTTGGGTCCTAACCTAACCTAACAAGGGTCGACGTTACCAACTGAAAGTTTTTAGCGTCTTTACGTTTCTCACATCTGGTACACCGTGTTTGTAGTTATTTTTTTAAGATTTTATGTGTTTTTGTTAAAATATCTGCAAAAACACAGTTTTCCGGCAATTAAAAAAAAACAGTTGTGCCGAATTTTTTTTCAGTTTAATATGTTATGAATACATATGAGTTTTTACTACTGACAAATTGTCAACTTAAAGGTCTTAAACATACGGCTAAAAACCCCAAAAAACAAAAAAACCTATACCTCTCCTAGGAAGGTGGGAAATGGGTATAATTTAAATTTGATACAACTGACGTGCGAGGGCAAACGAAATAGCTACTTGTAATAAATTTCAACTAGATCCGACTCTTTTTCTCGAAATCATAGCCAGTAAAAGTTCTAACTTACAAACTCGTACAGTTTTTTTTTTGTTTTTTCAAAATTGACTGCGAAGAAGTAAACTTTATCAACTTTTACCCCCAGTAGTGTCTACTCGAAGGAATTGGTTCAGTATTAAAAAAGTTACATAGTAGTGCCGCTCTGCATCGAAGCTAAAAAATGTGTTGCTATTTGAAAATCAAAAGTTGATATAAAAATAACTAGTTTGGGATTATCATGATCACATTATATAAAAACATTTTGGAAAAAAAAAATTCAATTATTAATTAAACCCAGTGAGATATTGAGTGGTTCACGATAATGGATCACCCTGTACAGAAAAAGAGAGGTAGGCTCTCTAGGTATATATCTCTAGCATAACAAACGCTTTTAGGTACTGCTGATCGCAGAAAATGCAATGCCAATTGCCAATACTATAATATATGAACATTTTGGAGATCTTTATTTATTTATGACACTGAATTACGATACTATACATATGGAAAAAACCAGAAGAATTTGAATTGAAAATCTAGGTACAGCTTAACAACACAGGTTGTATGATGAGCCAAATCTCCACCCGGAAGTTATGCTTTTATAGTCAACGGTCATAACTAAAGGGGATCTATCTAATTATACGGCTTGCGTTTAAATCTGATCATGTTGTCCGGCAGCAAACAAACGCATATGAAAATCATGAACATAACTGGTACCAATTAAAATTTGAATATTAACGGTGAGTATGACATTGACCAAAAACCACAGATATCGGTAACAAAAGTATAAACAATCGAACAAATTTTGTTACCGCTATAATAACAGAAGATTTCTGTGGGAAAAATCCGATGTAAAAAAAACACATAATAATTATTTTCTACAACGACCTACACTAATAATAATTAACCTATTTACAGGAAATTTTAATATTATGCGACCCGAAAACAAACCAATCCGACGAACCGATACCGAATGCATAGTTTTAAAACAATTGTATCATTTATTCGAGATGGTTTTATTCAACGAACAAAATTCAACAATCTCTACGTTAACTGATATTCCTATTGTTTTTGCTACCGCAGCATGTGTTTTGTTTGTATTTATATGTTTCCGTTATCGGAATTTGGTAATTGCAATTTTCAGCATCATAAATTGATCATGAAGTGATCGACTACAATACTATAAGCCAATGGTCGACTGGCAGTTTAGTTCAAGTTCCAGCGTTAGTAATTCACATTCGACCTACTGTCAATTGAGCCAATCGGTTTAACGCTGTTTGAGTAATACATACAACTTACTAGCAAAATGCTTCGATACAGCATAATGATTTTGATTTGTATTGAAAAAATAACGGCACCAGCAACTAAACCGCCAACGTACTACCCAAATCTTCCAATGGTAATACAAAAACCACCCTTGTTATCAAGACAGGTTGATTTATTATAAAATTTCTAAATTAAAATTCCATTTTTTTTTTCATTAGTTTTGGAATTTTTTTCTTTTGATCCAAATTCTGTTTTTCATTCACTATATTTTGTTTACTTGTATTGTACTTTGTATTTTATTTTTCGTATTGTATTTGATTATTTTGTCCATTTAGTTCTTCTGTTTACTTTTACTCTATTTCCTTGAGGGTTTCAAATAAATATTATTATTATAAGACAGTCCATTTCTCTTAAAATAATTGTAATTTTTTAGGGTTTTTTTGTTTTAATCATTTTTTCTTATGTTCGAGCTTTGGGAAAAAATAAAAAATACAAATTTTAAGTATTGTCTAAAATTATGTAACAGCATAAACTAAAGAAAAAAAAACCACAAAAATTGCAATTATTTTAAGAGAATGTGAGTGTGTTGTTCTTAATGGATCACCTTGTGTATCACCATTTAAAAATTACCATGCTCGAAATAATTTTAGGGGGAATATAAATTAAAAATTAAGGCATGCACTCCATGTGAGCACTTTGAGCACGCCAAGGTACAGGTTAACCTACACGTAAGTAGAACAAGTGCTAATTTATATGAAATAAAAGGCAATTTAACATATTTGGTTCAATTTGACGATTCGTTAACTGTGAGCAATTTTTATTTACTTATAATTAGTAGTTGTATTTTAATTATGCTTTGTATGTTTACACATTTTAACTTCGATATCAGCATTTTTTTTTTATACTTTGACTAACTATAATTGCTATTTATTTTATGATGATAAATAGTTTTGATACATAATATAATAAATTTACTAATTCATCAAGTCCATTTTAAAAAGCAACTGTAATTGATACCACTATTACAATGACTTTAATTAATTTATATTCAACACTTTTTATAATTTATAGATTTGCTTCGAAGCGTTTCTTGAAAGTAATTTTATATAACATTCAGTTTAAATCAGTCCAGTAGACCTGTTAACTCACCGCTTCACTAAGACCTTACCTCAATGTACTGTTTTTTTTTTTAAATATATATTTTAAAGCTGATCATACTTTTTAGACTGAACTTAATTTTGCTAAAATTATTACGTTTTCACGACGACCAAAGCTTGTTCGAAATTGAGATGGCTGTTGGGAAATGCATTTGGTGCATACAAGAAAGCGTTTAATTTTAGTACTGATTGCCCAAGAAGGCCGGTAATGTTGAACAGATTTTTCAAACTTGGTCTATAATTAATATTCTTTTATAATTTTCTTACACAGGGAGTTTATGTGTCGAACGGACTCGACATGGAAAAGGTGAAGGATCTTAATTTTCCAAAGACATTTTTTTATGGTGAATATAGATTGAAAATCGCCCTCTATAGCCCGACCGGCGAAAAACTTGGTTGTATCTATTTTTTTTATAGAGGTTGTACGTCCATGGGAAGTATAGTTTAGCTCTTACTGTTTGTGCCACGCAATCAAATACAATAATAATTATTACTTTTAAGATAATTCGGATATTACATCGATATTAACAATAATAGTAATTTCACACAATATTATATTATATTGAAATAGGCTCGTGTGAATAATATCAATCGAATTGGTGAGTAAAATGTATGCAATAACAAACTGGCCGGATTAAACACAATATACAAATATCTAAACCACTTAAATATATGACAAACAATAACCAAAAAACATCAATTTTTTGCTTGATCCGATTTTGAGATTTTTTCTAGCACGTCAACATTTGACACAACTGACGTGTGCGGGCATGCCAAATCATTATTCCTTATACATTTCAACTAGATCCAACTCTTTTTCTCGGAATTATAGCCAGTAAAAAGTTCTAACTTAAAAACTCGTACGGTTTTTTTTTTGTTTTTTCAAATTTCGTCTATGAAGAAGTAAACTTTTTCAACTTTACCCCCCCCCCCCCCAAGTACCAACTAGATAAAATTTGTGATTTATAGAGTTGCTACTCCAAATTTTATGACTTTTCGTGTTTTTTCAGTTATTGACTCACCAAAGATCTATCTTCAGGCTAACATTCAGCTCTTGAGTTTTATATTAGAAGAATTCTCAAATTTTACCCACCGAAAAAAAATTTAGGTTATAAACTGAATTGTAATGACTTTCTATTAGTCAAAAAAAAAAATTAATTAAAAAAATAGAAAGCTGAATTAATTTTATATAAGAACCTGGTTTTTAATAATTTTTTTTTTTAATCGCCAAAGATACTATAAAAACCAATACAGTGGGTTTACAGGAATTTTTTGAATCTGAAAGTGATAATATCACTTTTGAAAAAACGCTTCGATGCAAATCGGTAGTCAGTATTCTCAAGCCAGTACAGTCCAAACCAAGCACAGTGTAAGCCAGCAAAGTTAGAAAATATTAAATTGAGATGCAAATAAGCATTAAAGCGTTAATTTGAAAGTGATTGTATCCGAGAGGACTAGTACAGTAGAGTATAGGCATAATGGAATCAAAGCAACTAGTGGACGGGGAGGCCACAGGTCTACAGGAATTATTGTAAATAAAAGTGATAAAATTGAATAATCTGCATCGAAGCTAAAAGCTAAGAAAATAATTTAAAAAGCCTACAATCTAATTTGTAATTAAAAAATGGACAAATTTGAGCAATTTTCTGTTATACTATTATTAATTACACATAATTAACTCCAGAAATTTTTCTACTTCATTATATGTAAATAAAATAGAATTTCTGCAGTTACATGATAATATAGGTAATATATGCCTATTTATATATTTTAATAAATAATAATAATATAAATTAGAACACCTACTCGGTGCTATATTATGCATCAACCTTAATTTAAAAAAAAATTTTTTTTTTTTTCACTAAAATAGCTGAATAACTAAAATGTATAACATAAGTGCAAATGCAAGTGCTTGCAATAAATTCAACAATCTGAATGAGCCTTACCTATGCTTATCTGCTCAGTACTTAAAGATTATTATATATATATTGATATATTTATCGTTTATTTATTTTTCTACCATAGAATATACGAACCATTTGATTTCCAAGCATACATATAACTCATATTGTCTTCATCGATCGCAACGTCATAGTAGTAGAGCCTTGTTATTTTCGAGCTCGCGGGTACATTAGATTCGTTTTTCTTACATAAATGAATACTTTGATTGAAAACCAAAGTATACTAAATAACAAATATATAAATCCCCACACAAAAAACCGTATATTAGCAACATAAATAATAGTACAAGAAAAATTATAAATTTAGTTAGAAACAAATTTTTACTAGGTAATACCTACCAAGTTTTTATTTTAAATAAAGAAAAATAAGATGTGTTAAACATTATTTGTTTACAAATAAATAATTACGAACTTAAACGTGCTCAAACCCTAAATCCAAAAAGTATTCCTTTACGACCTTTCTCACGTGTTTTTCGATCTCCAATACGGCCTCAGTGTGTTCACTTTCCTCAAGGGACTGGTCGGTTGTTTCATCTTCTTCTACCGTTTCTTCGGCGTCCTTCGAAGAACTTTGGTCGAGACTAAGACTAAGACCAAGATCATTAGCATCAGCATTTCTCGGTAGTATGCAATATTTATCTATTAAAGGTAACACAGCGTCTCTTACTTGACGGTTTAAAATTTTTTTTAGACCTTGAAAATATTGGTTAACTTTTACATTGGCGTCGTGGGTGTATGCATACTGCAGTGTGGTCTTAACATCACGAATCTTAATCACGCTAGTTGCGAACGATTGTATACGATTTTGGATTAAAACATATGTTTTCTTTTTTGTCAACGGTTCTACCAAATAGTTCAACGCACGCGACATGTGATCAAACATGTTTTTGCTTTTTTCGAATTGTTCTATAAGGGTGTGGAATAGCTTAAAGGATTTCCGATAATTATCGGGTTTTACTTGAACAGGCTCACTACTGCTGTCCTCACCTGGTGCACGCTTTTGTTTGTAGTAACTTTTTTTGCAATATTTTCTTTGATCCGCAAGACGTATCTCGTAACCACATTCGTCCATAATGCTTTTAGTCAAAAGTAGGAACTCAAACAAAGCATTCGCGTACACGCATCCCAACAGCTTATTGGCCATGCAATATTTTTTTTCCACGTTTTCTTTAGTGACATTATTCGATTGATCGGGCTGTTTGGGGTCTATGAACAGGTAATTTCCCGAAAACGAAGACCGAGTGCATGAGTTATCGTGATATTGGACTTGCACGTGATTGAGTCGGTCCCATCCGTAATTTTTTAAAAGTGCATTTAGTCCGTCGATGTATTTTTCAATCGGTTTAAATTGGTGCGAAAACGATGCGAGTTCGATTACGGTTAATAGAAATAACAGATCACTCGAAACGTTAAAAAACATTTTATCAGCTTGAAATATTTATTTATTTACGCGATAGGTACAAAAAATATGAATATATCATGTACGAAGAGTTACACATTCGTCCTCAAGCAGAAAGGTCTGTGTGAAACGGTTGACTCATTTGACATTTGGAAGTGTGTTTACTTCTAATGGTAAAATCGCTACTGTTTGTTCATTTGGCGTGGATTTTTTTTATTCGCCAACATGACAGGCTATAGGTCTTATTAAGATCAATTGAAACGTTATAAACCATTTTAGCAGATTGAATTATTTCGCATTAACGCAGTAATAAAAAAATATATATTATATCGCCGCCCCGGTAGAACAATGACTCAACTGCAGCACAAATTGAAATTTTACAAAACCATATTATTTTCACCGAAATGTTATGGGATGTAATTTTAATGGAATGGCAATGCTTGAGAAATTATTACAACTATAGGTACATCATTTCGCTACCCTATGCATTCGATATTTTTCAACACGTTGAAGCATTTAGCCCATTTTACCAAATTTTGCAGTTAGGTCATTGCATCTAGTGGGGTTTCCAGAAAAGTCAACTGATGTTAATTAGGTGATTAGTCGATTGGAGCAAGTAATAAGATATAAGAGAAAAATATAAGTGATAAGAGATAACATATCCACGATTAAATCCACGTTTTTTTGCTGTTTTTATTTTTGAAAATATTTTGGTTTATGTTATTTTACAACGTTCGAATTTTTATCTTGTTTATATCCGCCGTAAAGGCCTGAGTTTACGGTTAGATACTGTTTTTTGCTTGTTTCCCTTATGGGCGTTGTCATAAAATATTATATCCGGCTTTAGGATTTATTCATATTTTTATATCTGCATGGCCGCGACCCGACACATCGTTTTATTATCATTTCAAACCGAACTAGTCCTATTCAAATAAATCATAATTAATAAACTTATAAGCTTGTAATATGAATTTATACGTTGAAGGTATCGTAATTGTAATAAAATGCATAATTATGTGAATTACTACATAACTAAAGCAATCCTTTAGACAAAACCCACGCTAATTTTTAAAGAACCGCGTTATCATGCAGTATTTTTGTGCACTAAGTTTTGGTCAGTGACAAACAATCTGCAAGACACTTTGGAGGTTATACCTATTTAAATATCTGCCTGTAAAATAAGACCTTTAAAAAATCGAGCCTAGTTATCATTAAACACGCAAGGTACATCAGATTCGTTTTTCTTACATTATTAAATACTTAAATTTTAAAAAAATGGGAAAATCGCCCGTTTCACTGCCCCACCCTTTACAATTTAAGGATCTATGAAAATGTTTTTTTAGTTGCATTTTGTTTTGAACATTGTCAGTCTAGTAAAATACAAGTATAATTGAGCTCTGAAAGAATATAATCTATGAAGTATAAACAGTTAGTGTGAGATTGCTCTAATGGAAGTATATAATACATAAATATTAATTTCATTGAGAATAAACGATTATAATTTAAACTATCGAGTACAAACGACTGAAACATGAATCGTCGACCATTCTAAATAAATTTAACAAGACATTGACTATGTGTTAGTATACGTTCATATTTGGCGTATTGACTCAAATATGAGGCGCTCAGAAGCCAAACTGATTAAATCCATAAAATGAAATTTTTCAGGACAGGTAGTTAATGTTATTTGAAACAATGTAAGTACAATTGCCAATGTACTTGGTGCACTCTAGTGGTGAAAAATTCAACTATGGAGTTATTTATCATTGCCACTGTTAATTATACACTTTTGTAATCCGACCATGCTATTATTCGCAATTTAAAAAATAGTGGAGTTAATCGGTTTGGCATCTTAGCGCCTCATATATAATATATTTATCAAATAACAAACAGTCTTGCGAAACAAAAACCTTTTTTACTGCACTTCTGAACTGCTTTTATGATTAATATTTGCAGAAAAAAATGAAACTTATCGGGTTTTTTGTACCATTCATCTTGGTAAATGTTTCGGCAGATGTTTTTGAAGGTATTTATGTTATTTTCACAATTACAAACTTAAGGTAGAAAATACAAATTTTAAAAAAATTACAATGTCTCACCTTTTTTTTTACAGCGGATTATAGGAAACAGGTTTTAGTTACAAGTCAGAAACATCTTTATTTTTTTTTAAAGTTTTTTAAGATTTTAGAATCCAATGTTTTTATACATATTTTTTAATTATGTACATATTACAGATGTATCCATCATGGAAGCTGGTACAGGTAAGATATATTTAAAATTTAAATGTTAATACATAAATGTTTTTTTATGTGAACCTAATTTTCAAGTTTATTGCAAATTTAAAAGTATAGTTTTTATCAATAGTAAAAAGTGCACCAGTGTAATTTTCAAAGTAGGTAGCGATTTCTAATAACCTAATCAAAGGAGTTTGAGTGTTAGAGGTTAGTGTTGAGTTAAATGGCTACAGCCTAAAGAGTAATTTGATATTATTCTAAAGATTTATATGGTACTTAATTCAATTTGTTAGTATAGCCCAAATCTTTTTTGTTTATTACAGATAGATTGGAGCGAATAATTGAAGAAATGGTTAATGAAGTCAATCATTTCGACACTTTCGGTAGTCTTAGTTAAAATGATAATAATAAAAATAAAGATAAAAGTAGAGAAAAATACTAGAAAACAATATAAAAATTGCAACTTGTTGTAAAATTGCAACAAATTTATCTTTATGCAATATTGATAAATGATGCATATATTACATTTTTCTGCGAAATCTAAATGGCAACCTTGTGTAATTATTATACTTTGTTTCAATTCAGCCATTGTATTTTCATAAAGATTCTATCTAGTCTATTTAATATAGGTTTTTTCCTACTTTGACCTTTAACTTCAAATTTACAATTATATAATGCAATAGTTTATAAGAGCAAATCAAATCCTTTACTATTAATCTGTGTAATATAAATTTCAGGCAAACTTAATTTTATGATCGCTGTACCAGGTAATAGTTTTCGTAGAATTTTATGAAAATATTTCCAATTTTTCATTCCTATTTAGTTTTCCACAGAACTTCCTAGCGTGTTGAATATACAGTGCAGCACGATTATTCCAAATTACTAACATAACACATATTTATTTCTACCTTGATCTTCATATTTCTGTTAATAATATAAAAGAAAATGTAATGCAATACCATTATTTGTTAATGTTAATTTCAGAACAACTGAATACTACCATCTGTATACCGAGTAATAATTTTCATTTACATGGTTCCACACAGTAATGTTTGATATTCTTTTTGCACACAACATTTTTGTTTTAGTTTCAGATTTGAGACCCATTCCAATTTTGGACAGTAACCACATTTTTTTATTATATTTAACGCATATTTATTGTACATAAATACTTTTAGAACATTCACTTAGCGCCTATTCACAAATACCAGTATGACATTTTGGTAGGTACAATAAAATATCTATTTTTTTAAATTTTAGAATTGCTTGATTACCAGGACTTTATGGGATGGAAAATAAGACGTACATTAAGTAAATATTACATTTTAAACATTTATAATTATACTAGTTCGAAGTTCTAAAGAAAAACTATAAAAAAAACGATTTAATGCTTAAAGTCATATAGCTGTACATGTAATTTATTTTTAAGCATCTGATGATTATTCGAATTATAATATAAACAATAATATTTTGCATTAAGAGCCGTATTTTTGGTTGAAAACACTCGTTCTAAATCAAATATACTGTTTCTAAGAATACTGCGTTTTAAGCTGTGAAAAATATTTTAGTTCTTCATAACATTTTCAATGCATCGGTTGGGGCACAATTTTAAAACTATTTTTCAGTTAATAAATTATTTCAGTTGAAAAAAGTTCAAAATTGCATTTTTTTTTATACATTAATTAACTAAATATAGTTTTAAAATTGTGCCACAACCGATGCCTTGAAATGTTGTGAAGAATTTAAATGTTTTTTAAAAAACTATGTATTCTTAAGGACAGTACGTTTGAAGTAGAAACATGTGTTTTTGTACAAAAATAGATCCTATATGCGTTATAAAAGTTGAAAAAAATATATAATTATCAATATATTTTTTTCCTATGGTAAGATGGATGTTTAAAAATTTGTGTTTAAAGAAAATATAAAACTATGGATATTCTACGGGATAGAATATTCAAATCCACCGCACTTTATAATTGTTAATATTTTGTATTACATTGATTTAAACTGATCGAAAACCAAATTTTGGACTTAAATACAATTTTTTTGTATTTAATGAAGTTATATTTATGTATCTCATAATCATTCAGTAATCAGTATCCGCATTATTCAAATTTACCCCGTTTGCAAATCTACCCTATTTTCCACTTTGATATATTTATTTACTGCGTAATGATTTTATGTATTTGTTACAGAAATGAAATATCCTAATATTGAAAACAACCAAGGTAAATACGAATTTGTCGGTAGTCGTAAAGAGCCTTACTTGTTAAGAGTTGACATTTGCTTCATTTGATTTATATAATGTCTTATGTCAAACTTTAATTTTAATAAAATAATCTTTGTTGAGGAGAGAGACTTATACCTCGACATTTAATTTCATTTTAATTTAACTAAACTGTTTTTTATTTTTATTATTCTTTCACAACGCGGTCATTTAAATATTTATTTTCGTAGATTTTGGAAGCTTAGATTTGACAACCCTTGCACAGGACAGAAGAGATGTTACTGGACCAGCTTTAAAAAATATAATCAATCGTTTATTAGGTAAATAATATTAATACGGAGTTGTATGGATTTTGAATCATTTATAAAAAATGTTAGGTATTTAATAAAAATAAATCACTACAAAATAACAGGATGCAACTAATTTTATTTTTAACAATTCACCAAATAAGTGATGACACATACTTTCTTGTAATACAAACAGCATGGCTGTCCTATACGGATACCGTGCATATTCAATTTTTTTTCATGGTTCTATTTTAACAAATATGACAGTGGTGTCCTGCACCAAAAAAAAGTAACTAGTAAACTAATTTTAGCAAATTAATAAGAAAAAAAATGTTTTTAATTTTTTAGATGGACCTGTTCAGGATATACCGAATAATGCCGCTATAAAAAGGATGTGTACTTTGATCGGATTATACATGAGTGCAGAATTTCCAACGTCATATATAAAAAGAATTCACATTGACTTATCTAATCGTACTTGTACCCTATTGGATGGAACTACAGAAAAAATATACAGCAAAAATGGTGGCGTTTGGGAACAAATTAGCGAATACGGTACAGTACTACAACGACTAAAGGACCAGTTAGTATAATTTAAAACAGAATCAATGGTATAACTCTTTTAAAATTATATAATACCATTTTTGTTGTTTAAAAACAATATTTTTAAAAACCACTAGTATCCTATTTCATATCGCACTAATAATTGTCAAATAATTTAACGTATTCCATAATAAATAATTTTTACTCACATTTGTTGCTTATGTGTAGATTTAAACAGACACCTAATAATTTTTACCATACTATACAGAATTCAATAAAAAACATTTTTAAAAATAAAAATGTACTTATCTTTTGCATCTATCTCCTCGTGTAGCCATTTCTTCGTAATTATTTATTTCTAGTAAGTTTTAGGTCATTCCGCACTCCATCCATCTTTATCTGTCAGGGGCGTCAACGTTGTCTTCTTTCTATTCTTGGTTTTCTTGGGTCCTGGCTTAATTTTTTTTTCTGCTCATATGTAACAGATCGACTTAAATAAAAACAAAAAGTCAAATAATAAAACAGTGCACTAGTTGTATTGTCAACTAAACACATGTCAACTATTTTGATTTTTCACCATTATTAACATCGGGCAAAAGCTATCATAATCTGGTAAAAAAAAACTAACAAAAAAAGTATCCTCAATAGTATTACAATAAATTTGCAAAAAACTGTCTATGGAACATTAATTAAGCATGCTTCGATTCTTACATTGCCTCAAGCCCAAATATTTTTTATAAAACTTACTTAAGATTTCTCAATAAATCGTTAAAAAATTCTCGAAATTATAGCCAGTAAAAGTTGAAACTTTATTACTTATATATAAATTACAATGTACACAGACAAACAAAAAAAACCCACATAATTGTAAAACCAAAAGCATCGCTGCTCCACATCAAAGCTAAAAAAAATTTCTGGATTTTTGTATAAAATACTTCAATAGTGGTCAAATTATATAATTTTATGGTGACTGATTCTGAATTTGATAACAGTTTTCAATTTTACAAGGCCAAAACAAAACTTAAGTGAAAAAACTACTACTAATAACTTACTAGAAATACTCTAAATAGATGTCAATAAAAAATATTGGCGGGTATGACAATTTTTTTTTGTAGATTTAACGTATTTATGTTAAATTAAGTGATTATAATACGCTCTTTTTGGTCAACGTTTTTTTAAAATCTTATCCGTGAGTGTCGGCCAAGACCGTTGTAGTACATATCTAGTAGTAAAATATACCAAATCTGCGAAAAACACATAAATGGCTTAAGGTATTAAAAGGTATAAGCATAACATTAAAGGGTCTACAATTATTGTAAAACCGTGGTATATTTTTCAAAAAAAAATATACTACTACTAAATAATGCGTCCAGTAATATAGTACTTATTTTACTTATTGTTATTACTTATTTTACTCGTTAAGTGTTTTTCATTTATACATTTCGGCATAGTCTATATAGTTTGGCCAAAAATAAAATAAATTTCAACTGCAACTCTCTAATGCATAAACAAGATATTATATTATGAGTGATTGTAAAATCCCAGAAGTAAGAAAAATACCTATAAACTAAACTTTGCGTCGAATTACTGAAAAAAAATTTAACCAGCTGTGTAAACGAAAATAGTTTCACTGCAAAAACCACTTAGATTCGTAGATGTCGGTCGAAATATAAGCCTATCCATAGATAGCAAAAGAACATTTACTATCGAAAGCCGATCAAGTCGAATATTGTCTAAGCAATTCAATCAGCTCAACAATTTCAGTAAGTATTTCTATATCAAACCCTAAAAGTTGCAATGACGCTAAAACTAAAAAGGCATGAGCTAACGAGCCGTACATTTTAGTGTAAAAATAACAGTATTAAATATTTTTTATTTCTAGTTATTTTATTCATTGGGTATTAACAATGTTTTTGAGCGAACGGTTTTGTTATATTTATTTTTACCAAAAAAGATACAAATATATTATGTATTACACAATCCATATTTTGGAGAGAATTCTATAATAGATTTTATGTAAAGTTTCTTCAGCTCTCTGAAAACATTTCTAAAAAATTTGCCACACGAAAAAAACAAAAATTTTTGATTGTAAACTCAATTCTAATGACATTCTGTTATTCGAAAAAATAATCAATATTTTTTTTAAAAAGCTGAGATTATTTTATAAAAAATAACGATAAAAAAAATAGGTGTCAAGATAAAAACTCAAAGTGCTTTTTACGACTATAGCCAAAATAATTGAATAAAAAAATCAAAAAAAACTTCAGATTAATTTTTTTATCGTATCAGACATGCAGTGTACTTTCAAAAAACTCAGCGGGGGGTCGGTCCAAATTTTGAATTAGGTATATGATGATGTATATTATATGAAGTCCTTTTATGTTTATGATTTGCAGATAAAAATGAAACTTATCTGTTTTTTTTTATCATTTATCTGGGTCAATGTTACGGCAGATTATGATGGTATTTATGTTATTTTCACAATTACAAACTTAAGGTAGGAAATAAAAATTTAAAAAAAAATTACAATACCTCACTTTTTTTTTGATAGCTGAATATAGGAAACAGGTTTTTGTTACAAGTCAGTAACATTTTTGTTTTATAAAAATAGTTTTTTAAGTTTTTAAATTGTATTTTTTTCATACATATTTTTTAATTATGTACATATTACAGATGTATCCATCATGGAAGCTGGTATAAGTAAGATATGACTAAAATTTAAATGTTAATACATAAATGTTTTTTATGTGTATATAATTTTCAAATTTTCTGCAAATTTTAAGTATAGTTTTTATTAATAGTGCAAAGTGCAACAGTGTAATTTTTAAAGTCGGTAGCAATTTCTAATAACCTTATCAAAGGAGTAGTGTTGAGTTAAATGACGACAGCTGAAAGCGTGGTTTAATATTCTTCTAAAGATTTATGTTGTACTTAATTAGATTTAATTTCAATTTTTTAGTATAGCACAAATCTTTTTTTTGTTTACTCTAGATAGAATGGAGCGAATAATTGAAGAAATGGTTAATGAAGTCGATAATTTCAACATTTTCGGTAGTCTTAGTTAAAATAAAAATTAAAAAAAAAATTGAAAAATAGAAAAAAATATTTGAAAAACGATATAAAAATTCGAATTTATCTTTATGCAATTGATAAGTGATGCAAATATTAAATATATTTTCGAAATCTAAATGGAATCTTTATGGGGAAAAACTGATATTATTAGCTCTGTTAACCTTGTGTGATTGATATACTTGTTCTCATCCTCACAACTGTTTCAATTCATCCATAGTATTTTCATAAAGATTCTATCTAGTCTATTTAATATGGGTTTTTTTTTCTACTTTGACCTTTGACTTCAAATTTAGAATTATGTAATGTAATAGTTTATAAAAGCAAATCAAATCCTTTACTATTAATTTGTGTAATGTCAATTTCAGGCAAACTTAATTTTATGATCGCTGCACCAGGTAATAGTTTTCGTAGAATTTTATGAAAAAATTTCAAATATTTCATTCCTATTTGGTTTTCCACAGAAATTCCTAGCATGTTGAATATACAGTGCAGCACGATTATTCCAAGTTACTAATGTAACACATGTTTATTTCTACCTTGATCTTGATCTTCCTGTTTATAAAATAATAGAAATAGAAATGCATTATCATTAATTTATGTAATGTTAAATTCCAGACAAATTGAATATTCTTAACTGTATACCGGGTAATAATTTTCATTTACATGGTTCCTCACAGTGAAGTTTGATATTCTTTATGCACACAACATTTTTGTTTTAGTTTCAGATTGGAGGCCCATGTCATATATTGACAGTAACCACATTTTTATATATCATTTATTTATTATATTTAACTCATATTCATTATACATAAATTCTTTGAAAACAATCGCCGAAATACCTATTGACAAATACCAATAAGAGGAGGTACATTAAAATCTATTTTATTTTAAAATTTTAGAATTGATTGATTACCAGGAAGTGATGGGATGGAAAATAAGACGTGCATTCAGTAAATATAAATTTAAAAAAATAATTTATATTTGATAACTATACTAGTATGTATGTTTTATGCTTAAGCTTTTGATGATCGTTCGAATTAACATGTATACAATATTATTTTGCATTAAATAGTTGGTTTAATTAATCGCAGTTTTAGAGTGACTGCTTTATATAAAATATATAGGAGAAGACTGGGTAGATTTCATATTAAAAATAATATTATATTTTTTTTTTATTCTATAAAAAATGTAATGTTTGAGATTTCCAACATGTAGTATAAAGATTTACACACATAATAATAATATTCCCAACCTCGCCAATCAAGTAATTTATCATTTATAAATGTTTAAATGAATATTTATTTTTATTCTCGGTTATGAAGTACATTTGAATTGAAAGAGAGCAGATTTGAATGTGTCTTATTGATATATTTATTATATCAATAAGACATATATTATGTTTTATTATCCTTATAAAATAATTTTTTGCATAACATAAAATAAATCAACGTTATACATTATTTTGAACTTAAGATTTTTATTTATCACACAAACGTTCGGAAATCAATATCCATTGATGACACTAACTAATTCTTTAAGCAGCATGACTATTAAATATATTTTTAATTTGCTATATGTTCACGTGAAAATAGTTCTGTCAGCATTATTCAAATGTACCTGCCATGCAAGTCTACCCCATCTTCCCCTACATTGGATTGTATTACTTTACATGTACTGATTAATTGATGTCCTTGTTACAGGAATGACAAATCCTAATATTAATAACAACCAAGGTAAATACAAATTTTTCGGTAGTCGTAAATAGCCTTGCTTGTTTTAGAGTTGAAATTTGCTTCATTTTATTTATGTAATGTTTTATGTCAAACTTTAATTTTAATAAAATCATTTTTGTTGAGGAGAGAGACTTATACCTCGACATTTAATTTCATTTTAATTTAACTAAAATATTTTTTATTTTTATTATTCTTTCACGGTCATTTAAATATTTATTTTCGTAGATTTTGGAAGCTTAGATTTAACAACCCTTGCACAGGACAGAAGAGATGTTACTGGACCAGCTTTAAAAAATATAATCAATCGTGTATTAGGTAAATAATATAAATTTGAAGTTGTATGGATTATGAACCATTTATAAAAATGTTTAGGTATTTAATGGAAATAAGTCACTACAAAATAACAGTATACGACTAATTTTAATTTTAACAATTAACCTAACATGTGATGATACATACTTTCTTGTAATACAAACAGCATAGCTGTCCAGTACGGACACCATGCATATATATTATTTTATTACTATATTTTAACAAACATGACTTTGGTGTCCTACACCAAAAAAAAAAGAAGAAACTAGTAAACTAATTTGAGCAAATTAATAAACAAAAATCGTTTCTAATTTTTTAGATGAACCTGTTCAGGTAATACCGGATGATGGCGCTTTAAAAAGGATGTGTTGTTTGATAGGATTATACATGAGTGCACAATTTCCAACATCATATATAACATATACTCAGATTGACTTATCTAATCGTACTTGTATCGTATTGAATGGAATTACAGAAAAAATATACAGGAAAAATCGTGGTGTATGGGTACAAATTAACGAAAACGGTACAGAACTACAACGACTACAGGATCAGTTAGTATAATTTAGAACAGAAATCAATGGTATAACTCTTCTAAAATTATATAACACCATTGTTGTTGTACTAAAATAATATTTTTATAAAGCACTGATATCCTATTTCATGTTGCAATAATAATTGTTAAATCATTTATTGTATTCCATAATAAACAGTTTTACTTACATTTGTTGCTTATGTGTAGATTTAAAGAGGCTCCTAATACTTTTTACCATACTATACATAATTTGGTATGAAACATTTTTAAAAATAAAAATATACTTATCCTTTGCATCTTTTCCCTTCTGTAGCCATTTCTTCGTCATTATTTATTTCTAGTAAGTTTTAGGTCATTACACACTCCATCCATCTATTTATACTGTCTTGGATCAATTCTCGTTCTTGAGTCCTGGCTTACTTTTTTCCTGCTCAGATATAACCGATCAACTTAAATAAAACAAACAGTCAAATCATACATTAAAACTTTTTTCACGATTTAACATAACCATCACTTACTAGCTAGTAAACTAGCTGTATACTTGTATCAGACAGATTAGATTATAACAGATTTTAGTATTTATTGGGTTGATCATCTGTATATATTTATTTCTTCTTATCGTGTCCAGGCTTTATTATACTATAGATGCTTTATTTTATTTCTGTACATAATAGTTTAATGCTACAGTATGCTAACACATACCTAATTAACATTAAAATGAAAATATTTTCAAATACATGTTAAGACTGGACAGAAAAGCCAGAAAAGGTACACAAACCTAACAACAAAATGATTGCTAATTGGCGAAAGGAAACAATCCATTTTTATCAATTTTGATTATATTAATGACGAATTGAATTTAATATTGATTTTCTACTAAGTACATATAAATAAATACAAAAAAATGTTTGTTATAATTTAAAAATTTTAAATTGTCGTTTCAACTTTTATAATACAATATTTAGATATTTAAAAAGAATTATATGTTTTTTCTATGGTACAAAGTTTACTGCAGAAAGGAGTTGTCCTTGACTTTATTTTTCTAATTGAATTGATTTTGTGATAAAAGGTATTAAAAAAATGAATATCTCTTTAAGGCAAAATATTTTTATATAGCAACTTAAATGATACCAATTAAAAAAATTTGTGTCGAAATGAAGAAGTGTCGAGAAAAACTCGAAAGAGTTCAGATTAAATCGGATAAAGTTGTTACTGATGGATTTAATAATGGTCAACAACACAAGATAAAAAGGTTCATTTTTTTTTTAACAAAGAATAAAATGATTAACTTTTTGTACGGCTTCTAACTTGTAGGCTTGTCTTTAAGAGTAAACATCAGAACGTGGTAAATGATCATGAATTTTAGTACGAATAATACGTACTGTTAAAGCTATTATGATAGAGATCTAAATGTAGGTTTTAAATACATCCGACCATTAATCACAACGCCAAAGATTACTTAACAAATTTTTTTTTTTTATCTAATACCCAGATAAATGAAGTACCTTTACCGGGAGACTTCATTCGGTTTCAACAAACCAAAACACAATTACAGTACAAATTCCAAATAAATGTATTGATGATTTTATTGCTTGAGAACTGTATTTATTGAATTTTAATATTCCAAAATGTACATCAAACAGCGACAAGAGACAAATCTGAAATACCAGCCAGCATCGTTGTCAACGATATACACAAACACAATGTTAAAGCAAAGTTCATTTTTTTAATAATATAATACATTAAAAATACCTAATTACAAACAATCTAAACGAATACTAACTAATCATAACTAAATTTTCCGTTTTAACCCAGCAGTTATGTCGAATAGTTGGGGATTATAGATTGTGCCGTTCTTATCTAATGTGTAGAAAAACCATTTTCCTTTAACTTTCAACGGTATGGTCTGGTTGCTGGTATTTCTCCCCACAGAACAGCTAATCTAAATAATATAAATTAAAACATTGATTAGTTATATTCGTACACGGTAATATTTTAGAAATTTAGTTGGCGAGCTTTATACATCATTGACAAACTATGGTTTGGGCAAGCTGTAAGTGTAAATGAAAATAAAAACTGAGTGGGCAGTTTAAAAAATATCTAAAAAAAATACTACACAAACAAAGTATACTAAATAGCCTACGCAATCTTATACAAACCTTGTCCAATGGAATAGTTGTAACAATGTTTTTATTGAAAGGTCCGAAGGATGTTATATTTAGATTTTCACCTCCCTTACACAGTACTAACATCTTCACAGATTTCATCGTATAAACGGCACATATAGCTACTAGAATAGCACCTGTTTAACAACATTTTAAATTTATTAATAGTTCAATTTATTGAAAATAAAAAAAAATGTCAAAGTACTCACCCATACAGATGCAACCAACGGGTATGCCGACAGTAACAATTTTTCCTTTAGTTTTTAACTTATCCATCCACCAGACCGTATGATTTTCATTGCTGTCGTTAACATTTTTGTTTAACAAGGCATAATACGAATCGGCGACTGTCAGCCAAAATCCAAACTGCACGACGGCAAATATACTGATAATTTTATAGGTTCTGTCGCTCGACGACTTGAAAAGTAGCACATCTTTTGTCACGTTGGTGTTCAGTTCGAATATTGATTTGTTGCTGATGTATTTTTTATTTAAACATTTCGACGCTCTAAGCGGCGTTTTATAAATTCGATTTAATGTATTTAACGCACGATTGTACGACGCACACTGAAAACACGGTACGCTTTTGAATATATTTTGTATGAAAAACATTGTGTTGATTTTATTATTTAACTAGATTTTACGTCGCTCTTATACCGAAACAAATTAACAGTTCATAAATTTCACAGACATTAGCCTTATTTAGAGTCATTATCAAGATTTCTGAATTAACATGACGGTAGATAAGTATTTAAAAGCATTTCTTTTCTACCGTTTTCCTTATCCTTATCACATACAACAAACCGAATAAATTAAAAGCCTACAGGCTCTTATCAACGATACCACTATTAATCACGGTTACCAAAACTTCGGTAACCACGGTAAGAACTGATAAAAAAACCAAGATAATAGTATGACTTGGTTAATTTTTAATAATTATTATTTCATTTTTACTTTATAGTTTTCACAAAACGTGTTCACAATTTGTAATTACAAGTTAAGTTGATAAGTAATTAAAGTAGTAAGCAAGTAAGTTAAGTAAGTAGTTATAAGTCAAGTCTAGTTGTTTGTAAAATAGTTCATTTTTAAATTGCGCGAAGAGATTTTAAAAACAAGTGGTTTTTTTTCTAAAAAAGTTTTGGATTGTTTTAAAAAAATAAAGTTAATGTCCAAAATACTATTGTCAACACATCTTGCTTGTTACAATTGATATTATAATGTTAAACGTTTTTCAAATTTTTGTTTAGGTAGCAAACGATTTATCTACCTCCGAATCATGAGTAGTGTCAAAGCATTAGAAATGTTGAAGAAGGTCTTAGATTTCTCAGTCAAACGTGGTGGATTTGATCATGTCTTCGAAAAGGTAAAAGTCCAATTTTTTCCCATTATAATTTAATTCACTGTAATGCCAGTTATTTTTAATAATGTTTTAAAAAATATCTGACTCGTAAAGTTACATTCAACTATTGGTAATGATAAAAATTCATTTTTGTAACAAAAATCAAATTGTAACAAAATTTTCTTCATTATTTATTTTTTCAAGAAAATTATTCTAATTACTTTTGAGTAAGAGAGAAAGTTTTCCTGTTTTTTTTTTCTCAATATATTCTGTCAAGTAAATAATAGCAATATTCTTTTATCTAGACGAAATTAGTATCAGCCGGAGATGGCAAGTGTGTAGCAGAAATGGTTGTAGAAAAACAGCACACCAATGCATTCAATATGCTTCATGGAGGATTTACTGCGTCCGCTATAGATTTATTTTCTAGTATAGCCGTACTGACACATCCGAAAATCTTTGAAGATATTGATGAGCATTCTGAAAGTGGTGTTTCAGTTGATATTCACGTTAAGTATGTTTAATTTAAAAACAAATTACTATAAGAACTTTTTTTAAACACGAAAAAAAATGGTACAGTAGGATGGCGGAGCATTTTAGAGAATAAGTCACAGGTCTTCAGTAATTATTGTAACTAAATGTGGTAAAATCCCTTTCAAATAAATTTTTCGGCACAAACTTCAAACAACTATTAACTATAAATAGTTTTTTAGACATAACATGTTTCAATAATCATTTATATTTTATTTTGTGATGGTTTCTCTACAAAGAAAAAAAAAAGTGTGTCATTAACTTTATATGATGGGAATAGCTCACAGAAAATTCACTGGTCGATCGCATAATTTCTAATATAATTAATTATACTAAAAACAATTAGAATACAACTAAACAAAATAATAAATACAAAATTTGCACAATTATTATTAGTTACAAAAAAAAATAAATGTGTCTTAAGTATAGATTGATTATCATGTATTATGGATCCAAATTTGTAAAAAATACATTGTAAATCAAATATCATCTCAGTTTCGCTATTATCCAAGTTTGGACGTAATTCAAGATATTTGTTTTTTGTGGGATAAAAAATTGAGTAGTTATTTATTGCTTAAAAGTGATGGTCTAATAGTGGCTATTACGATTTTAGGTTTTCTACAAATGAACGTCTGTTATAACGTTGTATATAATGTTCATCTATTATTGATATGGAATATTGCTGTAAGTTTGTTCAAGGAGTCTCTATTAAGTTTGTTATTGCATTTATATCTATATTTTTATTAATCATATTCAAAGTCCGACTCCGTATTAAACCTAACCATATGGTACGAGTCGGCTAAAAGTACCCAAATCATCCATTTTTTTTTTAAACACATTTAATACACATTATAAATTATATTTATTATAAAACTTTTAATTCATTATTATTTTTATTGATATTATTTATTGAATATTTAATTACTGAGTCGTTCTGTTAATAATTACTTGTTTTTTTTACACAGATACTTGGCATCGGCCAAAATTGGAGATGAAATAATTATCAATGCCGATACAGTCAAACTAGGAAGAAATCTAGCTTTTCTTGAAGTGACAATGATCCGAAAAGCCGACAATGTTATCATAGCAAAAGGAGCGCAAACGAAATTTGTCGGATAAAACTACTAGTCATTGATTTATTTTGTAAATCTCGTATGGGCTTACGGTTGTTACTGATTTTTGTTGTTAGTTAATATTATATTTTGTATGTTTAACACAGTGTTTTATATATTATATATAATAAGCGACTACTGTTATTAAATTATATTTGTTATATAATTTTACTAAATCAATTGTTATAACTTATAAGAAATACACTTTAAAAACCAAACGCTGATCAATCGCCTCTCTGTGTTCACCTTACCATTATTGAGATTAGACTGTTGTTATTAGTGTTTTTTTTTTAATAATTTCTATTTAATTCTAATTGAAATATAATTTAAATTCAGTTTTAAATTTGCTGTATTTAAACATATTTCAATATATTTGATAATTTTATTTTATTCTACTTGTAAAATAAAAATAAAAATTCTAATAATAATGTATAATACTTTAAATGGGTATTGTAGAAAATGGCTTAAGTAGAAGCATTATGTTTGTCTCCATATCAAAAATGTAAGCTTAAATTAAGTAATTCATGTGTCATGTTATTTAAATTCTTATTCTATACTTAGCAGTTACATTTTTTTGTGCTACTTTGTCTTTCGGTACACTAGTCAAACGTTATATTTTGTGTCGACATTTTCAAAGTTCCACCGGCATGTCAAAAAAAAATATAAATCTATATCTGATAATTGAAAACGAAAATTTGATAAGTATAAACAAGAATTATCTATTACCAATACAACATAATAATATGTAATTATGTTTATTCTTTGGGACTGTCTTCAGCTTAGCTACGGCACTTAATAGTAACATTGTTCAACGAATCCCTTAATTATTTTTTAATAATATAATATTTATTTTAAAACAAGAAAAAACTGTCTTAATATAGTTGTGGGTTGTTTTTTTTTTACAAAAATATGAAGGTTTTTTCTTATAATATTTCATGTGTTAGGTAAACAGTGCACTTTAGACTTGTTAAAATCAATTTGTATACGGTAAATTAATTTTTACACCTTTAACCGTTTCCTATTTAAACGATAGTTTTTTTTTAGTTGTAATGATTAGTGGAAAAAGTTTTTAAAATGTAGCACATCTTATGTCACGTTGGTGTTCAGTTCGAATATTGATTATAATGTGCAGTTTATGTTTTTTCTAAAAAGAAGAGCCCCAGGATCCCAGACCTATCTGACACCTTTGCTTATGGGGGCACTGGTATTTGGTGTCTTATCTTCATGATGTGGATATACAGTGGTAAACCACAAGTAAAATAACTAGGCATACAAAGGGATACCGGAGACATCATCCTCAGAATAATCAATGGTTAACAGACATACTATTGCTTATAGGATTAAAATGTTTTATAATATACCGCAGGTCTTAAGTATACCCAGTGACAACCAAAGAATTAAAATTCAATTACTACAAACAAATATTTTCGTGGGCTCGATTTCTGACTAAAAATTCATTTATAGAAATTCAAATAATCATTTGATTACATGACGTATGCGAATGACAAAACCTATTTTTTTAAGTTAGATTCAGAATTAAGAATACAATTGTACACTAATTAATTAATGCTGCACAGTTGTAATATTATATTGTCGGTCAATCGTTTTTCTCTATGGCGATTTGGCACGTAATTTACTCGTATGAAGTAATTATCTATTAAATTACAACTGTGAAATAATTTTTAAAAACAGCCTCATTGGCTCATTAATAAATAAAACAAAATGTGAAATAAAATTTACCAACAGAGAATATTGTCAATAAAAACAAAAATAATAAGTTGTACCTAGTTATAATTTTAAAAAGTAATTGGTACCTACTTACTATTTATACATAGCTCAAAAAATTATTTAAATGAAAAATCATGAGAAAGAATTTACTTACTAAATTTTTAAGTCAAGTATCTACCTAAAATGTCTTTAGAAGCACAGCTATATGCTATTAACAATCATTTAAATGTAATAATTTTTGTTTAAAAAATCAATACAATCAAATGAGATGGACCATTACTATTCGCTCTAATCTTTTTGCTTGCACCAGACCAACACTGTATTTCATTAATTTAATTTGGCTAATGTGTCTTCTCTAATTGAGATAGATAATCCTAAAACATAATATTATATTGAATAAATAAAATTATAAATATACAATATTGGAATATTACAACAATGCATTACTAACTTGATAGTTTCTACAATTGTGAAATATATTAAAAAATGTTTAAAAATCAATACATGGTCCAATGAGATAGATCATTTCTATTAACTCCTTAATTATTAAGGAGTATTATTAAGGTTTTATAATATGTGATGCTGGACGCACAACAAACTCAATTAATAATGTTGTGTATTGTATACACATTTTGTTATGTTGGCGTCAAAGATAGGCGATTTTTTTTTTTGCTGGGATTTGTCCGGCGACGTTTCAATATAAACCTTTTTTCCGTTTTACTTTACTTTATGACATACAGCAAACCTTGGCAAAACCAAGCGGCTCTTATCAACGATACAAGTGAAATTTGTGTTTTAAGTTTTGTAAAAACTGAATAAATTATAATGATAATTAGAAAAATTATCTTAGACTCCAGTCTTCCCCTTGTATCCGCCCATGTATACACATTAACTGGAGTGATCTATTTTATGTGTTAGCTGGACATTAGTCTGATGAGTTTGTATCATTTCTAAATCCAAAAGAACCATACGGGTTATTTTTGACCCCACAAAACTACCGCCGGCTTAATAATATATAAACATTTTATTCAGCATCGGCATGGCGCCAGTCCACCATAGGTTGTCCCTGTTTGAATCCACTATTGTGAAGCCAAGTATAAACAAATACAAAAAATATATATATGGGGAAAAAAATATGTTTTACATTCTGTTTTATGTTTTATGAAACGTGTATTTTTTTAAAAACATTTTTTTTTTTACAAACCTAAGAGATAATTTATTGTTGGTAGATTATTATTATAATAATATAATCATAGGTACCCGCAGACAATTTATCAGGGATGGGCATAATGAAATCAAACACCAAAAAGTACATAAAAAAAAGTTTATTCTTTTCAAACCATAAAATGTGTCAGAATTGTAATATACTATTTATTCGTTATTGAATAAAAACTGAATTCTCCGCTGTTGTTCTACTGCAAAAATTATATTTGAAGTTCAGGGGGGGCAAATTCATACTGTTTTACATACTTTTAGCTTTTTTTTTTTTTATAAACTTCAATAATAAAAACTGATTTAAGTATAACTTAAATAAAAAAACTCAAAAATGTATTTTTAAATGCTAAATTCGAAAAGAATTCGACAACGTACTTAGAGGGGTCGGCAAGCGCTATTTATTAAGTGGTAAAAGATAGGAAATATTTGACAAAAATTAATCTAGTTGTCATTTTCAATATGCCGACTGATTTTAAGGTGAAATAATATTAAGTTTTTCTAGTTATAATACTTTTAAAGTTATTTTTATCCGAGTTATGGCGAAAGTTTGATAAAAAATGACTTTTGTAGAAGTTATTTTCTTGCGTACCTGTCTATTGAACGGATTGAATTTTTTTTTAATTTTTATGTGAAGCTTACTATTTTTTTAGGGGGCTGGTGAGTCGATTTTTGATTTAGCCATTAGAAAATTAGTTAGATTTATTAGAAAGAAAACTATAAAAAAGTAAAAATCTAAATACTTATACATTTATTTTTGACCACAAAAATAAAAAATCGGCTTTTTAGCCTCCATAGAAAAGATGTTAAACTTTATAACAAAAAAAATGTTTTTTGAAATTCATCCGTTAGGCACTTCAGAAAGTGTAGTCTAGTCTTTATCTATAAGACATTTTACGCTTTCCGTTCCCCTTAAATATAAAGAAACTAACACAGGAGACGGTCATGCAGTGAATTTAAAAACATTCTAAGAAGCCTTAGTGGCATTGGTTATGAAATGTACAAGTTTTCCCATTTTAATAAACAAAATACTAGTCGCACAACATACACGAATAATAATCGTGCATTTTTTATAAATATTTTATAATATGTAATGTGTTAGTACCTTGTCGAGTGGCCTTGTGTGTCGAGTGCCTCTGTGAGGTGTAACCGTATGACTTTGTTAATTTTTATTAATTATTATTTCATTTTCACAAATCACAAATCGTGTTTACAATTTGCTATTACAAGTCAAGTTAAGTTGTCAAGTAAGTAAAGTAGTCAGCAACTAAGTTAAGTAGATAGTTATAAGTCAAGTCAAGTTGTTTGTAATATTGTTCATTTTTAAATCTACCACACAGAGGTCAAATAAGGTAAGTCACAAAAATCAAATTTGCTATCTATGCATTTATGAAACATTGGACATAAGTTTAAATACCTCCAATGATATCATTAAACGAATATTTTGATTATGTACGTAACACCTTTTTTTTTTTTTTTTTAGATTTGGACTTGCGATACTTGACCTAAGTGGTACAGAGAAAGTGCTTTTGAAGAGATTTTAAAATCGAGAGTTTTATTTTATAAAACAGGTTTGGAATTTGGATCGTTTTAAAATAATTAGGTTAATGTCCGCGCGATAATATTATCAACACATGTTGCTTGTTACAATTGATATGATAATTTTTATAGCGACCGATTTATCTACCTCCAAAATATCATGAGTAGTGTAAAAGCATTGGAATCGTTGAAGAAGATTTTAGATAAGGCAATCAAACGTGGTGGATTTGATCGACACTTCGAAAAGGTAAAAGTTCCATTTACATACCATTGCATTTACGGTAATTATAATCATTTCTGTTTTTTTTTTTTTTTGTCTAGACGAAATTAGTATCTGCCGGAAATGGCAAGTTTGTAGTAGAAATGGTTGTCGAAAAAGAGCACACCAATGCATTCAGTACGCTTCATGGAGGATTTACTGCGTCCGCTGTAGATTTATTTTCTAGTCTAGCCGTACTGACACATCCGAAAATAACTGAAAACATTGATTTGGATAACACTGGTCTTTCAGTTGATATTCACGTTAAGTATGTAATGATTTAAAAACAAATTACTATAGGTGCTTATTTTTAACAAAAAAAAAAAAAAACAGTACAGTAGGGTGGCGGAGCATTTTGGAGGATGAGTCACAAGTCTTCGGTAATTATTATAACTGAATGTGGTTTCAAATAAATTTTTCAGCACAAACTTGAAACAACTATTTTATATAAATAATTTTTTAGACAGTACATGTTCAATAATCATTTATATTTTATTTTGTAAAGGTTTCTCTACAAAAAAAAAAAAAAAAGTATGAATAAATAAAAAGTTGTCATGACCTTATACGATGGGAATAACCTACAGAAAATAAACTGGTCGATTGCATAATTTCTAATGTAATTCATTATTATAACAATTTTTTTTAACTTAAAAACCTATTCTGCGTTAGGTGTTTTTTTTTTTTTTTTTAGAAGTAATTCAAGATATTTGTAGTATTTATGAATGCTTAAAAGTTATGGTCTAATAGTAGTTATTGCGATTTTAGGTTTTATACAAACGAACGTCTATTATAATATTGTACATAATGTACATGTATTATTGATATGATTTATTGCTGTAAGTTTGTTCAAAGAGCCTCTATTAAGTTTGTTGTTGCATTTATATCTATATTTTTATTAATCATGTTGTACGAGTCGGCTAAAATTACCCAATTTATCCATTTTGTGTTTTTAACACATAATACATATTATAAGTTATATTATTTATTGAATTTATAATTACAGAGTCGTTATGTTAACAATTACATGTTTTTTTTACACAGATACTTGGCATCGGCCAAAATTGGAGATGAAATAATTATCAATGCCGATACAGTCAAACTAGGAAGAAATTTAGCTTTTCTTGAAGTGACAATGACCCGAAAAGCCGACAATGTTATCATAGCAAAAGGAGGGCAAACGAAATTTGTCGGATAAAACTACTAACCATTGATTTATTTTGTAAATCTCATACCTATGGGTTATGGTTGGTGATAAGTTTTGTTAATCAATATGGTGACTTGTATGTGGACCAGTAGACACCTTTGTGAAGTCAAATTGTAGGTAGTGGGTTTATAGCAATTTCATTTTAATTCTAATTGAAGTATAATTTTAATTCAGTTTTATATTTGCTGTATGTAAACATATTTCAGTATATTAGATAATTTTATTTTATTACACTTGTATAAAATAATTAAATTCTAATAATAATGCATAATATTTTAAATGGGTATTGTAGAAAATGGCTAATGTGGAAGCATTTTGTTTGTCTTCATAACAACAACAATATCAAACATTTAATAGGTACTTAAATTAAGTAATTCATATATCATGTTATTTAAATTCTTATTCTATACTTAGCAGTTACATTTTACTGTGCTGCTTTCTCTTTCAGTACACTAGTACACTAGTAAAACGTTATATTTTGTGTCAACATTTTCCAAGTTCCACTGGCATGTTCAAAAAATATATAAATTTATACCTGATATTTTGAAACGAAAATTGAATTAGTACAAACAAGAATTATCAATTACCAATACAACGTAATAATATGTAATTATGTTTATTCTTTAGGACTGTCTTCATCCCAACTACGGCACTTGTAGACTTGGCTTTGTGGTTATATTTTTTTAATTAAGATAGATATTTTTTCAAAGACATCTTTGTATGATGTTTAAATCAACTATCATATTTTGCGTTATTTAAATTTCTACTTAGCTGACAGTTACTAATAATAAAATATAAAATATGTTTTTTTTTATAATAGAGAATTATAAATTATTATTATCAGATTAAACGAGAAATGAAAAAAGTTAATAAAATATCATATAAGTTTACACACCTCACTTTTCTATTGACCTTAAGGGAAACGCGGAACGGGCTGTTTAAAATAATACATTTTTATTTTTTATTTTAAAAAGTAATTGGTTCTACTTGTACATAGCTCGAAAAATCAATATTATCAAATGAGATGGACCATTACTAGGTATTCGGTCTACTCTTTTTGCTTGCACCAGACCAACACTGTACTTCATTAATTTATTTTCGCTTATGTGTCTTCTCTAATTGAGATAGATAATCCTAAGACATAATATTATATTAAATAAATAAAATTATAATCATATATTATTGGAATATTACAACATATTACATTACTAACTTTATAGTTTCGACAATCGGCAAATATATTTATAATTGGTTGAAAACCAGTATGGTCTCAAAAGAGATGGATCATAACTATTTACTCCTTAATAATATGTGATGCTGGTCGTTCAACAGACACCATTATTAAGTGTGTATTATATACACATTTTGTTAATATTGGCGTCTCTGAGAGGCGATTTTTTTTTGGCGGGGATTTGTCGGACGACGTATAACCGAAGTGAAACCAAACAGCTCTTATCACCGCTGTTACCATGGTTACCTGAAATGCGGTAACTACATACGGTAAGTACTGATAAAAAAACCAAGATAATAGTTTGACATGGTTAATTTAAAAAAAAAATTATTTCATCTTTACTTTTTAGTTTTCACAAATCGTGTACCTATACAATTTGTATTTAGAAGAAAAGTAAGTTAAGTAGTAAGTAAGTAAGTAGTTGTAAGTTAAGGCAAGTTGTTTGCAAAATTGTTGTAAAAGAGGTTTAAAAATCAAGTGATTTATTTTCTAAAACAGATTTGGATCGTTTTAAAATAATAAGGTTAATGTCCACAATAATATTATCAACACATCTTGCTTGTTACAATTGATATTATAATTTTATACGTTTTTCAAATTTTTGTTACTAGGTAGCGACCAGTTTTTCTACCTCCGAGTCATGAGTAGTGTAAAAGCATTAGAATCGTTGAAGAAGTTCTTGGATTTCTCAATCAAACGTGGTGGATTTGATCGAATCTTCGAAAAAGTAATAGTTCAATTATTTATTTTGTTACAATTTAATTCACTGATGGGCAAGTTATTCAAATAACGTTTTAAAAAATGCCTTACTCATTAAGCTATTTTCACGGTAATTAGAATAATTTTCTTTTTTGTTACATAAATCAAATTGTAACAAAATTACCATCGTTATTTTTTTTACAAGAAAATTATTCAAATTACTTTTGAGTAAGACAGAAAGTTTTCCTGTTTTTTACATTACATTCTGTCAAGTAAATAATAGCATTATTCTTTTATCTAGACGAAATTAATATCGGCCGGAGATGGCAAGTGTGTAGCAGAAATGGTAGTCGAAAAACAGCACACCAATGGATTCAGTACGCTTCATGGAGGATTTACTGCGTCCGCTATAGATTTATTTTCTAGTATAGCCGTACTGACACACCCGAAAATCTTTGAAGATATTGATTCGGGTGTTGGAAGTGGTGTTTCAGTTGATATTCATGTTAAGTATGTTAAATTTAAAAACAACGGCTTTTTATAATGGTGTTACAAACAAAAAAAGTGACATTTAAAAGTACAACAAATTAACTAAAAAAATTAAAAAGAAAAAAATGTATATAAGTATACATAATAAAAAGTAAAGTAACATTAATATGTCCATCATTCAATTTAGAGGGGCATTTTCAGCACAATTAGATGTAGTTATCCGTAGGTAAAGAAGTGTGTGAGCCTAGTGTTAGTCGGGACACGAATACTCAGCTGATGCAATAGTCGAGGGGCGTCAACACAACTTTCTATCAAACCCAAAATAAAATGAGCTGAAGTTCTTGCGCCGTTGTTCTAATGATTGTAGTCTTAGCACGTTAATTATATTATTGTATATAATGTACGTCTATTATTGATATGGAATATTGCTGTACGATTGTGCAAAAAGTCTCCAATAAGTTTGTTGTTACATTTATATCTGTATTTATATTTGTATTAATCATATTAATATATTTTCCAATAAATGTTGACAACATAACCAAAACACATGCCTGGCCTCAAAGCCTTACTCCGTATTGAACCTAACCGTATTGTACGAGTCGGCTAAAATTACCCAAATTATCCTTTTTAACACTAATACATATTAAAAGATATATTTATAATAAACTTTAATCATTATTTTTTTATTGGTATATTTATTAATTTTTTTTTAACTATAGAGCCGTTTTGTTAACAATTACATTTTTTTTTTTTTACACAGGTACTTGGCATCGGCCAAAATTGGAGATGAAATAATTATCAATGCCGATACAACCAAACTAGGAAGAAATTTAGCTTTCCTTGAAGTGACAATGATCCGAAAAGCCGACAATGTTATCATAGCAAAAGGAGCGCACACAAAATTTGTCGGATAAAACTATTAGTCGTTTATTTATTTTGTAATTCTCGTACCAATGGGTTTATGGTTGTTGATGAGTTTTGTTAGTTAGTAATGTTACTTGTGTGTTTAACTCATTTTTTTTTTTAACTGTGTTGATGTTTTAATTTTTTTTTTTTTATATAATAATCGACCTCTGTTATGATAACCCTTCAATGGCCGACTCACTTCCAAGAGTCGACTAAAATTTTACTAAGTCGATTGTTATAAGAAATACACTTTTAAAATCAAACGTTTATCAATCTCCTTTCTGTGTTCACCTTGGTGAGATTAGATTGTAGTCATTAGTGGGTTTTATTAAAAATAATTTCTAGTTAATGCGAATTGAAATGTAATTAAAACTCTGTTTTATGTTTTCTGTATGTGAACACATTTCAGTTTATTAGATAGTTTTATTTTATTACTTGTATAAAATAAAACCAGATTTGATTGATAATGTATAATATTGTGAACGGGTATTTTAGTAGAAAATGTCTAATGGGGAAGCATTTTGTTTGTCTCTATAACAATAACCAACGCGTTCTTTTAGACTCTAACAATCAGTAGCAAACAAATGCAGCAAATATCACAAATTTAATACTTAAATTAAGCAATTCATACATAAAGTTATTTAAATTCTTATTCTATACTTAACTGGTACATTTTTTTGTGCCGCTTTGCCTTTCAGTAAACTAGTAAAGCGTTATATTTTGTGTCGATACATTCTACGTTCCACCGGCGTGTCCATAAAAAATATAAATTTATATTATCTAATATTTATAAACGAAAACAAAATTAGTACAAACAAGAATTATTAATTACCAATACAAAATAATATGTATGTATATGTTTATTCTTTAGAACTGTGTTCGGCTTAATTGCGGCACTTTACAGTAACATTGTTTGACGTATCCGTTTATAATTTTTTCAATAATAATGTGCTTTAAAACAAACAAAAAAACCGTTTTAATATAGTTTTGGGTTTTTTTTTTTTTTACAAAAATATGAAATTTTTTTCTTATAATATTTCATGTGTTAGGTGAACAGTGCACTATTTTTTAAAACCCAAGTTTAGAATAAAGACAACAATTTCTGGTTAAAATACACTTTGGGCCTGTAAAGTTTGTTCGACACAAAACTTGTTTTGCTGTTAATGGTTGTATATTTTGTACTTAAGACAACGCTAACCAGGCCATTTCTAAGGAGTAAAGTATAGGCAATTTTTCGAAAAATCTTAATTTAGAGTTCAACTATACTTGTACCGTATGTATACTTGTTATAACAGTAATGAAGACACTTTATTGTCATATTTTTTTTTGTCAGACTATCACATAGTAATTTCTATTGGATGAATAACAATTTTTTTCTCATCAAAAGTGCTTTGAGCAAGACATGTATGTGAGGCCAGTTGATGATTTACCAAATTTTTACAATGTATAGAGAGAAACAGCTTTATCAATGGGGTAGCGTTTAAAATTTTTTTTTTTTATAACTTTACTTGATACTTTTTTTAAAAACAAATGAAAAAAGTGGGAAAATGTATTTTTCTGACTTTTGGTAACCATTTTTTTTGCCTACTTGCAAAAATGTAAGTGTAATAATAAACAGCGTTTAGGTTAACATTTGTTATGACTGATTTTAATTGTTATGTTTTTTTTTTACAGGATTATTAAACCGATGATTAATTAATCATGAGACACTTGATATGTTATGAAATAAGTGCAATTTTTTAGAGTTTGTTTTGAAAAAAACATGTTTGTTTATGTTATTATTTACAATATTCTAAAATTACTAAATGTTAACTTTTTTTTTTTAGCATTTTTCAGCGCTCTACCGACTTTGAACTATATATTTAATCAACTTAATAAAATATGAAAAGAGTATAATTTTCTGACAATTTCAACTGGTCGATAACCAGTTTTGGATAATTAGGTACTATTTATATTGTTTGAGTTTAAAATTTAAGACGGGCAGAGTGTATTAGGTATTATTTTAATTAAAATGGAGTGGTAGACATTTACTGGAGATTATTCTTAACTTAAAAACTTGGTTAAGTATAAATTCCAATATCGTCTAAAATTTACAAAACAACATAACTAAATAGTGTCTTCAAAAGGAAAAACTACAAAATTGCAATTGTTTTAAATGAAAATGAGTGTGTAATCTTTAATGAATCACCCTGTATGTACAGCCGTTTAGTGCCGTCGCAATGCACACTTAGCTATTGGGTAGCATTTGACAAAGGTGGCAATTTTTTTACAAATTGAAAATGTCCAAAAGAAATTAAGAATAGAAAAGGAAGCCGAATTGGAGTTTAACTCGGTGAAAATATGAAAAGGTTTGTATTTTTACTATAAATTTCAGCTCTTTTTAAAGAGGCTTTAGAAGGGTGTTTTTATTTCAAATGAGATAAAATGTTGAAGTTCTATCAATGCCTAACAAATATTGTTTGTGAATTTTTCAGCTTCGATGCGAATACCGAATCGTTTATTGGAAAGTGTGTCATAACTTTTATGAAAAAAAATATTTTTGTCAATCAGAATAATATCTTTGGTCCCAGGTAAAAAAAGGCTCGAGTAAATTGTTTACAAAATTGTTTGTTTTCCCGTAGATTTAAAGCTTGATTTTTGCTGGTTTTTTTTTTGGGGGGGGGGGTGGGGTCGATTGGTAAAATGTATTTTTCTGACTTTCTGTAACCATTTTTTTCGCGGGGGGGGGGGGAGTGGCTACTTGGACTGAAAAATTGTTTAAATAATTTCCAACACTTGGTGTAGAGGTAGGTAGTAGGCATTATTATATAAGTTATAACCGGCATATTGGCGGTGCTCGAGGATCGTTTACGGTTTGCCCACCACGGCCATAATAATCGGCCACGCCTAAGCCGTCAAACGAAAACCTATGGAAATATTGACTTACTAAGTAGATAACAGTAAACGGTTCCATGTGAACCGACCCGGGGGACGTGCCGTACGTGCGGTGGTATCGGATTTCGAGGTTCAAAGAGTCGCTGCCCGTTAATGGAATCCGTGGTCAGTGCTGGCCAAAGCCAATATTGGTCTTTGCGTGAGTAGATATCCGAAACAAATCCTATATATTGGATACAAACAGCCCCCGGGGCTATGAAAACAACAAACACACACACACACACATATATATACTTATATATGAGCCGTTAGGTTAAGAATAGTCTAAACTATAAAATATGGTATAGGTAGGTAGGTACTTAAACAAAAACACCTTGACCGGATGGGAAAAAAAATAGCAGATGAAAAAGCCTTGGGAAAACAAACTATATACCACCTACCTATCCGCCTAGTTTTGCCCTCAGCATGTTGGTGTTGTTTTAGAAATAATCGCTAATAAAGAAAAAGTGCCCACTGAAAGGGGTGGATTGTACTGACATATAACATGTAACCTATCCATAGCCTTAGCCCATGGGGTACAACGGCAGTGGCAATGGGGATGTATAATTTTTTCTAAACTTTCGCCAAGCATAACTTCCAAGTAGTACGTTTTTAATCATCAGTTTTCAAAGGGACTGGACTTTGCCAGCTTGCTCCTTCGCTCTAGTTGTACCATTATGGCGTTGGCCTGGTAAGTAAAAGTGTTCTTTTCCGTGTGTGCCACTGACTGATGAAAACTTAAAATACTTTCTTATAATTTCTATACTACCTAATGTAATAAAAACGTCATTGTTTTTTTGTATATTTCTTAAAATATCATTTTGATATAAGCAATAGGTAACAATCATCGACGGACATCCAGAAACAACTAGGTCGAAACACTGCAAGTTCAAGTTAAGATTGATAAATTGGTCATACTCGACATGTGTCTCACGGCTCTCATGAGAAATTAAAATCTAAAAATTTAGTTACTTTGAACATCCTAGTTTATAGTCCTAGGACAATAGCAATGTTGTCTGAAGAATATAAAGCCCCCTACAAAATGTCAATAATTTATGAATCTATTGATACTAGACCTTAATAATGATTGTTAAAATATTTCTGGAAATAAATTGAACTTGTTATAAATGACAACCCTTAAAAAATCTAAACCGCAATCGCTGTCTTTGGAGGACATTAACCGTTTTTTTTCAAAATGTTATCTAATATTCACTTAGGTACCGAATTCGACCCAAGTTGTATAATAATAATATATTATATTTGTCCAAAAAAAAAAGTTCTTTTATAAGAATTGCATTTGTCTACTAAAAAATTGGTGCAGTTAATAAAATGCCAAAAATTTTAGTGTACAATAATTAACGGCGTTTAGGTTAAGACATTTGATATTATTGATTTAAATGTTTACGTTTTTTTTTTTTTACAGGTTGATTAAACTAAACTGAAATAACTGCAATTTTGTAGCGTTTCTTTTTAAAAAAACATGTTTGTTTATGTTATTATTTAAAATATTCTAAAATTACTATATGTTTATTTTTTTTTTAGCATTTTCCAGTGCTCTATCGACTATGGACTATATATTTAATCAAATTAATAAATTAAAAGAATATAATTTTCTGACAATTTCAACTGGTCGATAACCAGTTTTGGATAATTAGGTACTATTTATATTGTTTGAGTTTAAAATTTAAGACGGGCAGAGTGTAGTAGGTGTTATTTTAATTAAAAATGAGTGGTAGACATTTACTGGAAATTATTCTTAACTTAAAAAGTTGGTTAAGTATACATTCCAATATCGTATAAAATGTGTAAAACAACATAACTAAATAGTGTCTCCAAAAGGAAAAACTACAAAATTGCTGTGTTATCTTTAATGAATTACCCTGTATGTAAATTTTGAAATTCTATCAATGCCTAACAAATGTTTATGATTTTTTCAGCTTCGATGCGAATACCAAAGCGTTTATTGTAAAGTGTTTTTATAACTTTTATGAAAAAATATATTTCTGTTAATCAGAATAATATTATAACTCTTTATTTGTAGTTTCATTCGGTATGATTACTTGTGTTTACATAAGGTTTCAATTATGTTTGCCAAAACGATTGGAACGCAATAATAATATATACCTACTTTAGAGAAATCTAGATCAACTATTTTATTAGGTAGGTACTTGAGACACTCCAATTCGAAAGTGGCTGGAACAAGTGGGAA